TCTTGCTTCATGCTGTTCCCAAAACCCTGTCAGGCTATTCCTCAACAACCTTTGTTGTCAGGCTATTCCCCAACACCCTTGTCCAACTGTTCCTCAACACCTCTTGTCAGGCTATTTCCAACATCCTGTCAGGCTATTCCCAAACATCCTAGTCAGGCTATTCTGTTCCCAACAACCTTTGTCAGGCTATTCCAACACCTTTGTGAAGCTATTTCAACACCCTTGTCAGGCTATTCCCCAACACCCTTGGCTCAGGCTATTCCTAAGACCCTTTGTCAGGCTATTCCAATGTTCTCAACATCTTTGTCAGGCTATTCCTAACACCCTTGTCAGGCTATTCTCTCAATACCCTTGTCAGGCTATTCCCAACACCTTGACTGGCTATTACTAACAACACACTAGACCTTTGTCAGGCTATTACCTAAGACCCTTGTGAGGCTATTCCCAGGACCATTGACTTACTATTCCCTTACCCTATGTCTTTATTGTCAGGCTATTCCCAACACCTTGTCAGGCTATTCCCAACACCCTTGTCAGGCTATTCCCAACACCCTTTGTCAGGCTATTCCCAGACCCTTGTCAGGCTATTCCCAACACCATTGACTTACTATTCCCTTTACTATACCCCTTGTCAGGCTATTCCCAACACACTTGTCAGGCTATTCCCAACAACCTTGTCAGGATATTTCCAACACCATTGTCTAACTAACCCGAACACCCTTGTCAGGCTATTCCCAACACCCTTGTCAGGTTATTCCCAACATCCTTGTCAGGCTATTCCCAACATCCTTGTCAGGGTATTCCCAATACCCGTGTCAGGCTATTCCCAACACCCTTGTCAGGCTATTCCCAACATCCTAGGCCTTATTAGGCTTTTCCCAAAACCCTAGGCCTTGTGAGGCTATTCCAAAGACCCTTGTCCGGCTGTTCCCAACACCCTTGTCAGACTCTACCCAGACCCTTGTCAGGCTGTTCCCAACACCCTCGTCCGGCTATTCCCAACACCCTTGTCAGGCTATTCCCAAGACCCTTTTCAGGCTATTCCAAAGACCCTTGTCAGGCTATTTCCAACACCCTTGTCAGGCTATTCCCAGACCCGTGTCAGGTTATTCGCAACACCCTTGTCAGGCTATTCCCAACACCCTAGGCCTTGTCAGGCTATTCCCAACACCATTGACTTACTATTTCCTTACTATACCCTTGTCTGGCAATTCCCAACATAATTGTCAGGCTATTCCCAACACCCTTGTCAGGATATTCCGAACACCATTGTCAAACTAACCCGAACACCCTTTAGGCTATTCCAAACATCCTTGTCAGGCTATTCTCAACACCCTTTTCATGCTGTTCCCAAAACCCTTGTCAGGCTATTCCCAACAACCTTGTCAGGCTATTCCCAACACCCTTGTCCAACTGTTCCGAACACCCTTGTCAGGCTATTTCCAACATCCTTGTCAGGCTATTCACAACACCCTAGTCAGGCTATTCCCAACAACCTTGTCAGGCTATTACCAATACCTTTGTGAAGCTATTCCGAACACCCTTGACAGGCTATTACCAACACCCTAGGCCTTGTCAGGCTATTCCTAAGACCCTTGTCAGGCTATTCCACAGACCTTGGTCAGGCTATTCCTAACAACCTAGTCAGGCTATTCCCAACAACCTTGTCAGGGTATTCCCAATACCTTTGTCAAGCTATTCCGAACACCCTTAACAGGCTATTACCGACACCCTAGGCCTTGTCAGGCTATTCCCAACACCCTTGTCAGGCTATTCCCAAGACCTTGGTCAGGCTATTCCTAACACCCTTGTCAGGCTATTCCCAACACACTTGTCAGGCTGTTCCGAACATCCTTGTCAGACTGTTCCCAACATCCTTGTCAGGCTATTCCCAACACCCTTGTCAGGCTTTTCCCAATACCATTGTCTATCTATTCCGAACACCCTAGTCAGGCTATTCCCAAGAACCTTGTCAGGGTATTCCCAATACCATTGTCAAGCTATTCCGAACACCCTTGACAGGCTATTACCAACAACCTAGGCCTTGTCAGGCTATTCCCAAGACCCTTGTCAGGTTATTCCCAACACCCTTGTCAGGCTATTCCCAAGACCCTTTTCAGGCTATTCCCAGACCCGTGTCAGGGTATTCCCAACACCCTTGTCAGGCTATTCCCAACACCCTAGTCCTGGTCAGGCTATTCCCAACACCATTAACTTACTATTCCCTAACTATACCCTTGTCAGCCTATTCCCAACACACTTGTCAGGATATTCCCAACACCCTTGTCAGGATATTCCCAACACCATTGTCTAACTAACCCGAACACCCTTTAGGCTATTCCAAACATCCTTGTCAGGCTATTCCCAACACCCTTTTCATGCTGTTCCCAAAACCCTTGTCAGGCTATTCCCAACAATCTTGTCAGCTTATTCCTAACACCCTTGTCTAACTATTCCCATGGCCCTTGTCAGGCTATTCCCAACAACCTTGTCCAACTATTCCCAACACCCTTGTCAGGCTATTCCCAACATCCTTGTCAGGCTATTCACAACACCCTAGTCAGGCTATTCCCAACAACCTTGTCAGGCTATTCCCAATATCTTTGTGAAGCTATTCTTAACACCCTTGACAGGTTATTACCAACACCCTAGGCCTTGTCAGGCTATTCCCAAGACGTTTGTCAGGCTATTCCCAAGACCTTGGTCAGGCTATTCCTAACACCCTAGTCAGGCTATTCCCAACACACTTGTCAGGCTCTTCCCAACATCCTTGTCAGGCTGTTCCCAACATCCTTGTCAGGCTATTCCCAACACCCATGTCAGGCTATTCCCAATACCATTGTCTATTTATTCCGAACACCCTAGTCAGGCTATTCCCAAGAACATTGTCAGGGTATTCCCAATACCTTTGTCAAGCTATTCCGAACACCCTTGACAGGCTATTACCAACAACCTAGGCCTTATCAGGCTATTCCCAAGACCCTTGTCATGTTATTCCCAACACCCTTGTCAGGCTATTCCCAACACCCTTGTCAGGCTATTCCCAACACCCTAGTCCTTGTCAGGCTATTCCCAACACCTTTTACTTACTATTCCCTAACTATACCCTTGTCAGCCTATTCCCAACACACTTGTCAGGCTATTCCCAACACCCTTGTCAGGATATTCCCAACACCATTGTCTAACTAACCCGAACACTCTTTAGGCTATTCCCAACAACCTTGTCAGGCTATTCCCAACACTCTTTTCATGCTGTTCCCAAAACCCTTGTCAGGCTATTCCCAACAACCTTGTCAGGCTATTCCTAACACTCTTGTCTAACTATTCCCAAGGCCCTTGTCAGGCTATTCCCAACACCCTTGTCAAACTATTCCGAACACCCTTGTCAGGCTATTCCCAACATCCTTGTCAGGCTATTCCCAACGCTCTTTTCATGCTGTTCCCAAAACCCTTGTCAGGCTATTCCCAACAACCTTGTCAGGCTATTCCTAACACCCTTGTCTAACTATTCCCTAGGCCCTTGTCAGGCTATTCCCAACACCCTTGTCAAACTATTCCCAACAACCTTGTCAGGCTATTCCGAACACCCCTTGACAGGCTATTACCAACACCCTAGTCCTTGTCAGGCTATTCCCAAGACGTTGGTCAGTCTATTCCTAACACCCATGTCAGGCTATTCCCAACAACCTTGTCAGGGTATTCCCAATACCTTTGTCAAGCTATTCCGAACACCCTTGACAGGCTATTACCAACACCCTAGACCTTGTCAGGCTATTCCGAAGTCCCTTGTCAGGCTATTCCCAAGACCTTGGTCAGGCTATTCCTAACACCCTTGTCAGGCTATTCCCAACACACTTGTCAGGCTGTTCCCAACATCCTTGTCAGGCTGTTCCCAATACCATTGTCTATCTATTCCGAACACCCTGGTCAGGCTATTCCCAAGAACCTTGTCAGGGTATTCCCAATACCTTTGTCAAGCTATTCCGAACACCCTTGACAGGCTATTACCAACACCCTAGACCTTGTCAGGCTATTCCGAAGTCCCTTGTCAGGCTATTCCCAAGACCTTGGTCAGGCTATTCCTAACACCCTTGTCAGGCTATTCCCAACACACTTGTCAGGCTGTTCCCAACATCCTTGTCAGGCTGTTCCCAATACCATTGTCTATCTATTCCGAACACCCTGGTCAGGCTATTCCCAAGAACCTTGTCAGGGTATTCCCAATACCTTTGTCAAGCTATTCCGAACACCCTTGACAGGCTATTACCAACACCCTAGGCCTTGTCAGGCTATTCCCAAGACCCTTGTCATGTTATTCCCAACACTCTTGTCAGGCTATTCTCAACACCCTAGCCCTTGTCAGGCTATTTCCAACACCATTAACTTACTATTTCCTAACTATACCCTTGTCAGCCTATTCCCAACACACTTGTCAGGCTATTCCCAACACCCTTGTCAGGATATTCCCAACACCATTGTCTAACTAACCCGAACACCCTTTAGGCTATTCCCAAAACCCTTGTCAGGCTATTCCCAACACCCTTGTCAGGCTATTCCCAACACCCTTGTCAGGCTATTCCCAACACCCTTGTCAGGCTATTCCCAACACCCTTGTTAGGCTATTCCCAACACCCTTGTCAGGCTATTCCCAGACCCGTGTCAGGCTATTCCCAACTCCCTTCTCTGGCTATTCCCATCACCCTTGTCAGGCTATTCCCACACCCTTGTCTGACTATTTCCAGCACCCTTGTCAGGCTATTCCCAACACCCTTGTCACACTAATCCCAACACACTTTTCAGGCTATCCCCAACACCCTTGTCAGGCTATTTCCAACACCCTTGTCAGGTTATTTCAAACACCCTTGTCACGCTATTCCCGAATACCGGTCTTTTGGATTGCATTACGGTGTACCGAACCGAAGGCAAAATACTGCGGCTCTACTAATACCGCGTAACACCGTTTCACCCCTAACACTCTTATTTTCTTTTTTGGGTCGGAATAATTCATTTTGGTCTATCTGGAAATAACTAAATGACCTAAAGACAACAGTTTAATTACCTCTGAATGTTTAACACAACACAAAGAACTTAGTTAAGCACCCGCTAACATATATCACGATCTTAACCCTTTGGCGCATATCTGGGGCATGATTGGTCGTCGTGTGCAACAAAGGGATCCTCCTGTACAGAACCTGGCCCAATCGGAAGCTGCTTTATACAAGGAATGGCGTAGACTGACTCTTCAGAGGATCAGGAGGTTGACAGGGGTATGATGAGGAGAGTGCTGGCTGTCATACAGTCACACGAGGTTACACTTGGTATTGACCCTGAATCGTGTAAGACACGCAAAATGACATTTTGAATGTTCACATTCACCAATAAATTCGACATTAAACATTCCAGGGCCATACTTGTCAAGACATGGTTTTGTATGAAAGTCAGTGTTGTTGTTTTTAAATGAGCAATTATCATCATAACAATCAACATGGATTCCAATCGTTTTGTCAAAGGATCATACAGGTCAGCAAAAAACTGTTTTTCCATTGTGGTCAGAACGAGAGGTTTTATGTACGGGTTGAAAACCTATCATTGCAAAAATACAGGTGTACTTATTTAGCTTCTTTGTGTATATGTGAGCCTTTGTGGATAGAAGGCGGGTATTACGTTTATGTAGGATTTTTCTTGTATGTGGAATAAATATTGTATTAAGTAAGCCCTTGCATTTTATACATATCAAACAGGTATATCTTATTTCATCTCCATGTGTGTGAGGAGACGATGGTGAAGGAGAGAAGGATGGTGAGGGAAAAAAGGATGTTGAGGAAGAGGAGAAGGGAGGGGAGAAAAGAATGGGAGGGAGGAAGGATGGTGAGGGAGAGAAGGTGGGAGAGAAGGATGTTGAAGGAGAGAAGGGTGGTTAGGGAGAAGACGGGGAGATGACGGGGAGAACTGGGTGGTGAAGGAGAAAAGGAGGAGAAGGATGGTGAGGGGGAGAAGTATGGTGATTGAAAAAAGAATGGTGAGAGATGTTAAAGGAGAGAAGGATGGTGAGGAAGAGAAGAAGGGAGACGGAGAAAAGAATGCGAGGGAGAGAAGGGAAAGGTCATGTACTTAATCCTATGATACCAAATAAGAGAGGGAGAGGCCGTGGGAGAGTTACTAAGTGACAAGTGTGTGAGGTTGGGAGGTAATAGAGATGACAGGGGAACGAAAGAGGGAGGGAGAAAGAGAGAGAAAGGGAACAGTTGTACCTCATACGCTTATACTAAATGACAAGTGTCATTTATACTCCATGACAAGGCATGGAAGAGAGCGGAGAGTGGAGAGGGAACGTTCTATCACGTTGTATATTGTACACATGTAGGCGTTTCTTCAGTAGGACGATGCTGGTGGAGAGTTCAGATTGAAGACACCGATGAACGACAAGAAGTGAAGTCAGAATCGTTGCAAGCTGAATATAGATGTGATGGAGGAAGGCCAAAGACAGACAGATGAAGGTGACACAGAGAATGGCGGATGCTCACCAGCAAGGTGCAGAGCAGACACTGACGAGGACACGCCATCAGACGAGGAGCTTGTGGGTACTGTCATGGGCACCCCGCAAGGAAGGACTGAAGGAGCAGGCATGGAAGATGTTTATGAAGAAAGTGACGGATTTAGTGATGGCACAGACGAGGAAGAAGGAGATGGGATACAAGACATGTCACAACTTGGAGCAGGTGCTATAGCGGTCAAACTCCAGACTGTTCACCAACAGTCATACCAACTTGTTGGTAAAGGTATGTATTATTTAATAAAATAAAGATAGAAGGTGATGCATACATGCTTGTGTGTATCAGAATTAGAACAGCCGTGTGAGAAACAGGCTTCAAAATGTACAGTAGCTTCTTGGTTTGGACTCCCGTCAGGCTTAGCTAAGCAAAGTGAAACAAAGAACAAAGAATATTTTATGCCTCTGTACAAAAACGGTTACCTGTAATAACCGTTATGTTATGAGGACTTGTGGCTAATGTTAAGGCTGCATGATGAAGTCATGGGCTCTACTGAGGTCTGTGGTGGTGAAAACCAGATTAAGTAACTGAACTTTACAATTCTGACTTGGTAACTATCTTGTGTATGTATTACATGTCATTTTAACAATGCTAGTATTTATATGATATTTATATTTGTTTGTGTCCTTGAAGATCCAAACGTAACCTGTGTGGTTTCTTCGTAGATACCACGGCACTAGCACAACACATTGTAGGATGTTGTCAGCCACCACAGGGAGACATAGCATCAGCACCGCAGCAACAACAGCAACCCCAACCAGTTTCAGCTGGTGATGCTGATCCAACTACAAGTCAAGCACAGCTGTCCACAGCTACATCTTCTGTAGTTCCTGAAACACAAAGTCTACCGGGTCCAAGAAAACCAACCCTGACACCAGCGGCCACATCTACATCTTGTGTAGTTCCTGTAACAAGTCTACAGGTCCCAGGAAAACCAGCCGTGACACCAGCGTCCACAATGTCTCCCAGAATACCAGGATCTGTTGTGTCAAAGATACAGTCATTGGGGCTCCCTGGGGTACCAGGGACTGGGGACACTACTGCAGGTGAGTGTTGTGACACGATTATCTAGGTTCAGGTATCGAATACCAACAACAAAATATACCTTCAAAGAATGTCGAGGATGATAATATTTTAAGGTGAATCTATGGTAACACACACCGATGTCTGGGTATGAAAATATACTATGTTGTGGTGAGAAAATCAGGCTTCCGAACATAACGCTGTGGCAGTCAAAACCTCCAACAGCTCGTCGAAGGAGTGGTGTGCCAGATTGACCCTATCAGTCTCAGTCTGAAACGGGATAGCCGGCACATCTGTATTTCCCAGTCACCATACAACAGTGTTTTCTGTGTCAAATGCGTAAGGATTTTATTCACGTAATAATGTGATCAGTTCAGGACCTTTGGTGTCTAGCCATGGTGATTTCTGCTATGTATGTGCCCAGCATTGAGATTCTTCATGGTTTTAAGGTGACAGAGAACTCTGCTTCTTGGGGTGGTGTTGCTTTTAATTTGTTGCTGGAAACCCCTTACATTTTTCAAAATGGTAGGAATTCTTCAATTACATCATAATACAAACATCTGGTAGATCTGCATAGCATTAGGGAAAGTGCCGAGGATGCTCGGGAGGAGTAGCCTCGTATAGTCAAGTTCCTCTAAGGGTATTAAAATGGACTCCGTCCGTGCGTGCGTGCGTCCGTCCGTCCGTGCACATTTGTCTTTTCCGGAGCAGAACTCTAAAACCGTTCAATCCTTCTTCACCAAACTTGGCACATAGATAGATCTGGTGGTGTACTGGTGCCTTTTGGTAGTTTTGGAATTCTGAATAAAACAGTTTTGTCGTTTCGGTGGCAACAAGTTTTGACTTAGAATGAAATTAGTGGTTGTGATCTTTTCCGGAGCAGAACTATAAAACCGTTCACTATTTCTTCACCAAACTTTGCACATAAATTTGTCTGGTGGTGTACTGGTTCCTTTCTGGTAGTTTGGGAATTCTGAATTAAATATTTTTGGCGTTTCCATGGCAACAAGTTTGACTAAAACAGAAATTAGTGGTAGTGCACTTTTCCGGAGCAGAACTCTAAAACCGTTCAATCCTTCTTCACCAAACTTGGCACATAGATAGATCTGGTGGTGTACTGGTGCCTTTTGGTAGTTTTGAAATTCTGAATAAAATATTTTTGGCATTTCCATCGCGACAAGTTTGACTTAGCCTGAAATTAGTGGTTGTGCTCTTTTTCCGGAGCAGAACTCCAAAACCGTTCACTATTTCTTCACCAAACTTTGCACATAGATTGGTCTGGTGGTGTACTGATGCCTTTGGTAGTTTGGGAATTCTGAATAAAATATTTTTGGCATTTCCATGGCAACAAGTTTGACATAGACTGAAATTGGTGATAGTGCTCCTTTCTGGAACAGAACTTTAAAAACCTTTCAATACTCTCCTTCCACTTTTCTATATACACACCTAAATATTTGACATAATCATAACTCGTAGACGTAATCATGAAGAGTATTTTGCCATTGCGGGGGATATTGATGACTTTGTCTTCTTGTATGCTCCTTATGTACTGCTTGAAGAACGTAGTTTTAGATGCTGGTTCTGCATATGAGGATGAATGAGAAGGTTTTGAACCGTCTTGCCTGCTAGCTAGATGAGGTCTGGAAACCAGGTCCTTGCTGGACAAAAGGCCCGACCAAAAGCAGCAACAGGTGTCTGGTCTGGCTGACGTCTGCAGTACTGATGGTAGCATTGCTGGTGGGAGGTACGCGTGGAGCCCTTCCCATGATATTGCCAGAGTGTCGTTTGTCCATGCTAACGGTTCTGGAACCGATGGGACGAAGATGCCTATCTGGTTGGTGAAAGGAGTTGAACAGGTATACTGATTTGCAACCTTGCTGCTTTATCACCAGGTGGAATGCTTCTGAATGAAGTTTCCATTCTGTTGTTGGCGGCTTGCACGGCCTGGACAGAGTAAGCTAATACAGTTGTGGCTCCTTGAATGTGTCTCACCTTTATTGGCAGATTAAGGCTGTCTGTGAGATGATACAATTGAAAGATTAGCTTCAATATAGTAGCTGACTTCGTTCTGCCTTGTAGATCGATGTAGAAGGCTGCTATCTCATGCCGCTGTTGTGTAGGAAGCTCATTGTGGGCTTGGTTAACCACAGAGCCGTGGAAATGCCAAATGATTGAACCTTCCCCTGGTAGTGTTGATTGTTGAACAGGAATCAATGTCTAATTTTCACTAATTCACACACCCTATGATGCCACGAGGATACTCTTTTATATGACCACTTACGGACTGTGGTACTCACAGATGTCTCACTTGAGGTGATGATTTTATGGAAACTTCCAAGAACTTCAGTTTTCATCTGATTTGTCTCGGCTTCTCCATCCCATTTCTCCTCAAGCAGCCACAATAAAGGCATTGTTTCCTCACTCCCAAGAAGAATCTGGACTCTTTATTCTACATATAACGTATTTCTATATGCATATTGATACCCCACGCACTTGCACTATAGTTAAGAACTCGTAGCACATAACTATCAAACAGGTTTGTGTACACTGCATGGTTTTAACCTCCCAAATGATTGGACTTGCTGAAAATACCTCCTCGTGTGTTGTGGGATGCCTTACATATTTCTTTAACTTTTTCTTGTAGACACAATATTCATTAATCCACATTCCAAGATATTAATATTCTGGACAATAATCAATATCAACATTTCCAGATTTGAATTGAATATGACATCGAGGTGTTGATGCTGTTCTGCAGTGCACAATGCCAGCTTTGTCTCTGTTCACTGTCAACTTCCACTTGTTAGACCACTGTTATAAACAATCTAGTAGCTTTTGTAAACATCCTTCTCTGAGCTCGATGAGCACAATAACATCAGTATAATGAAGCGCAGAAGCACGTCTCTGTGATAAGATAATCTCACCAAATCTTGAGATGCTTTTCTGTTCTTGGGGAACACTAACACTGGAGTTTCCACGACAATTCGGAAATGAGATGAGAGTGAGTGAGTTTAGTTTTACGCCGTACTCAGCAATATTCCAGCAAAAGATAAAGCCCATTTTATAAAGAAGATATATAGTCCATTTATCATGCACATTTCTCCATGCACAATGCATGCTCGAAGCGCCCAAACAATCTGATTATTATTACCCAGGATAACCAAGCAGCCTGTGAAGCGCTTGAAGGTTGATGGTTACATGACTTATCCCGCCCGGGTACCCATTTTCTGCTGGGTGAACAGAGGCAACTTTAAACAAACTCACTTGCCTAAGGTGAGACCATAAGTATCATAAGTGCTTCGTTGTGGGGCAGGATGGAAGTCCTACAAACTCTCAGGAGTCAAACTGCGAAACACGGTCTCTCATCCGATGACTCTCCGCGCCCAACGTTGCTTAACTTCAACTGATTTGTGACCAGAGCTCTATGGACAGGACCACACACCACCAGTTACTATGAGTCAGGATAAGGAAGCATTCATAAAGTTACACGCAGTGTATTTTGTCTGTTCATGTTAATGTCTGGTTTGAGAATCACTAAACATATCTATGTACAAATATGGAACACATCTACCAAAGCTTCTGTCACATGCTTACCTGTTACAGTCACACAGTACAACCTTTACCAAGTACAACAAAACTTTGGAGATGTGACAGTGAAGGGCGCTAAGAATTTGAACATTGGCGGAACTCAGAATGTCGGTACACCTCCCACCAACCAGGAGGAAGAGGAGAAGCCACTGACTGTTGCACAGAAGATCAGGAGTGAGTTTTTTGTCAACATTTGAATACAATGATTGGTCATCTGAGGGAAATTTACAATTAATCATCGCTCTTGTAGTCTAAGTACTCACATGAAAAGGAAGTTAGCTCAATTACCTTTTTCCTCATTAGATCCTGATTAGATTTGGTCACGACCTTTATGGCTCGTTCATACTACGTGGAGGTTCCTAAGGTTTCAAGAAATAAAAATATCTGACAAAAACGAATTTAAATGATGATACACAAAAACCGAGTAACTCTTAAAGGACCTCTGATGCATGGTAAACAAACAGACATGCAGACATGAGTGTGGTGTTCGCAAGTGATTGAAAACCTGTGGTTGGATCACTGAGGATTAGAACTGAATGCACTTATGCTTCCTCATCATCAAAGATGTCATCTGACGATTGAAGGATTCGATACATAGGAGTGCCTGGGTTGTACACATGGAGAACATTCCCAAATGTGACTACACCTACCTGTCGCAGATCTTCCTAATCACAGTTGGGTAGTGAGTTACGAACACTCGCTCACGGCATGATTAAAATTATACAACACACTCTGCTTTAAGTATAGATGTCTTATGGTTATGGAAACCATTTTATTAGTGTTATTCTATATTTCTGGTACTTGGGCCGTTCCCTGTACTGGGTAGGATAATCTTCTTTCACATGTAGATCCTGTTATGAAACACAATTAAATCAGTCCAAATTTAATTGTTACAGTAACTTACAGACAGATAATAAAAAGATATGAGAGATGGTGAGAAAACAACGTTCATTTGACCATTTTAAATTCACTTATTTGTGACAAAGTTTGTTTACTTTTACATGTGTTATATATATTGTTAGATAAGTGAAATGTGCCCCTTTCCACAGAAAGAACATCATCTAGGATACAGACATGGACTAAAGACATGGTGGAGACAGACGCCCTGAAGGAAGTGAAGGGCAAGATAGACAGAGGAGCAACATGGGTGACAATTAAAGGAAGACCAGGTGAGGGGAAGTCCACAACAGCCTACATGGCTCTCAAAGACCAGTACAATCAGGGTAGACAAGTATACCAGGTGGAGTCACCAGAAGAATTCAGTGAGGTCGCATTGGCCAGCAAGAACGCTGTAATTATGTTAGATGACATATTTGGTGATTTGGAATTTGACGCAGCTGAGTGGGCGAAGTGGAGACCACGTTTACGACCTATCGTAGATGTGACAGACCCTGACACGAATACTGAAAATACACCTGAGAAAGGTTTGGACAGAACAGAGGATGAGACGACACAGAAAAGAGACCCAGGACCAAACAAAGACAAATTAATCATTATCCTAGTAGGCCGTGAGTATGTGCTGAAATCCTCATTGGCAGACTTGGGACGGATTGCAGATTACATATCTAGCCCCAAATATGTGGTGGAAGTTTCCTCACAGAAAGGCTCTTATGAACGAAGGAAGATATGGCGTGCTCATGCTAAAAGAAAGAACATACAATTTGAAGAGTCAACTGTTGCTCGGATATGTGAGGCTGACTGTCCACACGGGTTTCCCCATGTCTGTAGAATGTTTGTGGCAACACATGAAAAGGATCAGACTCAGCTTCCAGAGACTTTTTTCCAAGAGCCCATTGCTTTCCTCAACAAGACTTTGCATAAGCTTTCTAAAGACAAGTTAACACGTTCACTGTTCATGGCTATGATTATGAGAGATGGGATGGTTACTGGTCAAGAAATGGAGGAGGACGATAGCCTTGGGTATGAATGCATAGCAGCTGCTGATGATTTGGTTGGATCTTATCTCAGGAAGGAAGATGACACGTACATGTTTGATCATCCATCTATATATGACAGTGTGGCTTTGATTCTCAGTTCAAAGCAGTCAAAGTTTGTCATAGAAAATTGTAGTTTGTCATTTATTCGTCAGCGACTTTGTCTTGCACCCTCCAGAGAAACAGGGAGAAACGTTGCTGATGAGACAGATCTTGTTGCAAATATCCCATGGACTTATGCTAAATATTTAGCTAGAAGATTTGCAACTGAAATTAAAAGGAGCAATTTGTTGCATGTTTTATCACACCAGGCATGTTGTAATTCAGATTTTGTTGACTTGCTAATGGACAACTTGAAGACATACAGTGGCATGTCTGTTCCTGATATTCTGAAACTAAGTGATAATTCGTCAAAACAGTCATTTTGTGAATTACTTTCCAGCAACAAGTCACAGCATATCATCAAATATCTTATGGAGAAAGAAAATATATCATTCAGCCAGAGTGAAGGAAGGGACATTTTATTGGGTGTGTGCATGAATGCAGCTTGCAATATATTGACCTACATCAGTGGACACATGAAACTTGAGATGAATGCTAGATATGGAAGGGAGGAGAAGACACCTCTTATGTTAGCAGCAGAAACCAGAGACAGTGTGTTTGTCAGTCAGATTTTGTCCCTTGGTCCTGACCTGAAAGCAAGAGACATTGACAAACAAACTGTCTTTCATTACCTCTGCCGATATGGCCTTACCTCTGCTGTGGAATATGTGATCAACAATAGAGTGAAAGTCGACAAGCATCACGCTCCATACCTTGCCATAGAGAACGGTCACTTAGAGGTGGTGAAACTGTTGGTTAAAAGAAGAGTTCATATAAATTACAAGAAAGGTCTTAGATGTGCTGTTAAAAGCCAGAATGCAAACATGGTGGGTTTTTTCTTAAACAGCGGGTCAGAGGTCGACAGTATTGCTTTACGCACTGCATGTGTGGCCGGGGATTTGCATATAGTGGAGATGTTGTTTGAGAAGGGTGCTAATGTTCACATGATGTTGCCTGATGGAGATACTCCTTTACTCAGCTCGTGTCGAGGAAACCCTGCTGTTGTGTTGTATTTACTGAAGAAAGGAGCATGTGTGAACCAGGTTTCAAATGTTACAGGTGACACACCACTTCATAGAGCAGCAGGATCGGTATCTGTAGGCAAAAGTGTTAATGTGTTACTCGAGGCTGGGGCTAAAGTTAATGTACAGAATAAAACAGGTAACGCACCACTTCATGAAGCAGCAGGATGGGGATCTGTAGAGAGTGTTGATGTGTTACTGCAGGCTGGAGCAGATGTTAATGTACAGGATAAAACAGGTAGCACACCACTTCATGAAGCAGCAAGGTGGGGGTCTGTAGAGAGTGTTGATGTGCTACTGAAGGCTGGGGCTGAATTTAATGTACAGAATGATGCAGGTGACACACCAATTCATGGAGCAGCAGGACGGGGATCTGCAGAGTGTGTTGATGTTTTACTGAAGGACGGAGCAGAAGGTAATATGCAGAATAATGCAGGTGACACACCACTTCATGAAGCAGCAAGACGGGGATCTACACGGAATGTTGATGTGTTACTGAAGGCTGGAGCAGATGTAAATGTGCAGAATAACACAGGTTACACACCACTTCATAAAGCAGCAGGACACGGATCTATACAGAATGTTGATGTGTTACTGAAGGCTGGTGCTGATGTTAATGTCCAGAATAATACAGGTGACACATCACTTCATGAAGCAGCTGGACTGGGTTCCACAGAGTGCATTGGTTTGTTACTGAAGGCTGGGGCAAATGTTGACGTACAGAATAATACAGGTGGCACACCACTTCATAAAGCAGCAGGATGGGGATCTACACAGAGTGTTGATGTGCTATTGAAGGCTGGAGCGCATGGCAATGTACAGAATAACACAGGTGACACACCACTTCATGAAGCAGCAGGACGGGGATTTACAATATGTGTTGATGTGTTACTGAAGGCTGGAGCAGATGTTAACGTACAGAATAATACGGGTGTCACACCACTTCATAAAGCAGCAGGACGACAGGGATTTACGGAGTGTGTTAATGTGTTACTGAAGGCTGGAGCAGAAGTCAATGTACAGAATATAAGGGGTGACACACCACTTCATAAGGGAGCAGCCGAAGCAGCACAAGTGTTAGGATCCACAAAATGTGTTGATGTGTTACTGAAAGCTGGAGCAGATGTTAATGTACAGAATTTAGAGGGTGACACACCACTTCATAGGGTAGCATCAGGTCAGGGACCTAGAGGGAGCGTCGATGTGTTACTGAAGGCAGGAGCAGATGTCAGTGTACAGAACAATACAGGCGACACACCACTTCATGGAGCAGCGAGGATGAATTCTACAGAGAGTGTTGATGTGTTAATGAAGGCTGGAGCAGATGTTAATGTACAGAATAATACAGGCGACACACCACTTCATGGAGCAGCGAGGATGAATTCTACAGAGAATGTTGATGTGTTACTGAAGGCTGGAGCAGATGTTAATGTACAGAATAACACAGGTGACACACCACTTCATAAATCAATAGGAGGGGGATGCACAGAGTGTGTTGATGTGTTACTGAAGGCTGGAGCAGATGTTAATATACAGAATAATACAGGTGACATACCACTTCATAAGGCAACATGGTATGGATCTAAAGATTTGGCTAATGTGCTACTGAAGGCTGGAGCTGATATGAATATACAGAATAATGCAGGTGATACGCCACTTCATAAAGCAGCAGGATGGGGATCTAAAGAGTTCGTTGATGCGTTACTGAAGGCTGGACTAGATCTTAAGGTACAGAATAATGCAGGTGACACACCACTTCATAGAGCAGCAGGACGGGGATCGTCAGAGTGTGTTGATGTGCTACTGAAGGCTGGAGCAGATGTTAATGTACAGAATAATACAGGTGACACACCACTTCATAGAGCAGCAGGACGGGGATCTACAGAGTGTGTTGATGCGTTACTAAAAGCTGGAGCAGATGTTAATATACAGAATAGTACAGGTGTCACACCACTGCTCAAATTTAAACAATGACAGACGTGAACATGTATGAAGATAGATGTGGTTTTATGATTCCGAAACACTTTTTTCATTGACCAGCAAACCAAATGTGATCTGAGATTTCACTTCGTAACTGTAGATTTATGAAATGAGAGGAAGAGTAAACACAAGCTGTTTTATGGATGGCAATAATATGCATTCTGTCAAAATGCCACTTTTCGGTATTATTGTTCGGGCGTTTCCTTTATCCATGGGTAGGAGGACATTTGGATTCACGTAGGTGAACATCTTCAGTTACTAGATTTCATCATGATTATTTAGTTAAAGAAACAACAGCTGTATTTTAGATCGCCCTGAAGACATTAAACATAAACTATTAGTTTCTATACCTCATTTCCGATTCCTCTACCTTTAACCAGACAGCGAGACCTGACAGTAATTTACCGAATTGCCTACATGCGGCTCATTTATAATGTTACAAACTTCAACGCTTAATGAATATATGTAATAAACTTGAGCTGCAAAGGAAACGCTAGTTCCAACTTGTTTGAAATGTGTAACTAACCAATCCAATGGAACTGATTGCGTGCTACACGGCGTCCCCAAACCATCCACAATGAACCCCAAATATGTAAAGTGCACGCGCAGTTTACCCATTTATAAAGGTTGAAGTTCAATATTAGCATAATGCACAGAATCCAGGTCTGTCACATTATTGGCAAAACCCCAGTATCTATAAACTTGTACAATTACTTGGATGTGATATAATAAAACCATTTGTAAAATTGGGTAAATATTTAATACATTTTAATCAAATGATAAGTTCTCACGCTGCTTAACACGTCCATGTACATATTTGTATTCAATTTCAAGACGAGGAACCAGCTAGTTCAAGTCTTAATAAAGTCTCAGTTCTGTTCTGTCGTTCTGTTCTGTTCTGTAACCAAATGCCTACCTACGTACTGGCCTACCAAGAGTCACAACACCCTGCACCTATGCGTCACTCAAGAAGCAGCAAGTTCGTCAGCTGTAGGGGACGGTGCGGAGCAGGATCAAGCGGAGCAGGATCAGCTAACACTATCAGATTATCTTTGAACGAGTACCATCTTTCTCATGATGTCCACCTGTTTGTTGTACACCTTCATCTTCAGTTGTTGCACCAGGACAACGCACACTGAGATACCGGTGGGATGTTTATGGCCGTTCTGGCTCAACATCCACATGCTTAAAAATTACGGTTCTCAAGGAAAATGTTTGAGACTAGGCTTGTGAGCGAAGTGATCTAGCTGGTTTGTAGTGTTGGAGTAGACGGGGCAGGTATGTTGGAGCTTGACCATGATGTGACGTGTACACCAGGCAGAGAATCTTAAACTGAATCCTTGCTTCTACTTGGAGCCAGTGCAAGGTCACCAATACAGGGGTGATGTGATCAAATCTGAATGTTTTCGATATGATCCTGGCTGAGACATTTTTGAATTTTCAAGAGCTTTTGAAGTGATGATTTGGATATACCCAAGAGCAAGCTGTTTCCGTAGTCCAGTCTAGACAGCACCAGAGATTGTACCAGATCAGATACCGTATCGGTGATACCGTATCGTATTTAGTGAATGTAGCAAACATTACATAGGTTTTCTACTTTAGCCGACGTGTCAAGTTGTTGGTCGAGGTACACACCAAGATCCTTCACCTTCCTCGTAAACCCAATGGAACACTCACCCACTAGCACATTCGCTTCTTCGATCCTTGCCAGAGACTGTTTTGTGCCCACCAACATAGCTTCGGTTTTGTCATCATTAAGTTTGAGATTCACAGATGCCTTCCAGGACTTGACATGTTGGATGCAGTCTGTCATGTGCTGTAGAGGATGATATGGGTTCTCTGGATTCCATACATCCAATAGCTGCATATCGTCAGCAAACGACTGATGACCGGCACCATACTGGACGGATCCAAGGTAGCTGGTGTAGACAACAAACAATGCAGAGCCCTGTACAGATCCTTGTGGGACACCCGATTTTAGTTGTGTTTATGAGGAGTTCACATTGTCCATGAGGACTGTCCAGTGCATGGAGTGACTGAAAGTGTCAAACGCTGCTGACAAATCTAACAGCACTACGGAGGCAATGTTTCCATTGTCTACCTTACGTCCCCGATCACTTACAAGCCGTAGCTATGCTGTCTCCATGCTGTGGTTTGCACGATATGCCGACTGATGTTTGTCCAGAAGATGGCTCTTTTGAAACTGGCTTCGCAGTCGAATGTTGATAGCCTTTTCAATGATCTTTGACAAGAATTCGAGATTTGACACCTTGATTCACATTTTTCATGGACTCCTTGTCAAGATTGTTCTTCTTCAACAGTTGACGTACAACTGACTGACTGAGTTTAGTTTTACACCGCTTTTAGCAATATTCCAGCAATATCACGACGGGGGACACCAGAAATGGGCCTCACACATTCTACCCAAGTGGAGGAATCGAACCCGGGTCTTCGGCGTGACGAGCCAACGCTTTTACCACCAGGCTACCCCACCGCCCCTGACGTACAACTGATTGATTGAGTGTATCAGGGAAGATCCCGGCTGTGAGACATGAGTTCAGTATGTTTGTGATCACCGGAAGAAGGATGTCTAGGTGTTCCATCAGAAACTTAGTGAGCACAGGATCTAACATACATATATGTTTCTTTGATGACATGATAATCTTCCTGATATACACTGTCATTTTTCACTTGGGTGTGTATCTCTCTTTGCAGACGTCTGTGATTCCTCTTTATGAACCACTTTTAGATCTTTAACTGAAAATACTTCATAAAAAAAATCGTTTCACAATATTGCATTAACCTATCATTCAAAATTTGATAATATTGTCATGTTAGCGTTTCTTTTGCTGTTCAGTATATGTTACTGTATCATGTGACATGAATAACTGTTCTAAATGACTGGAAACCAGCACAATTGTAATAATCTCTTGGTTGGCTATTATTTCTAGATCCTTCTTTGATTCCATTTGAATAAACACTCTGATCATGACCAAAAGCAACAAATGTTGAACAGTGTCAACAATCTCCAAGTATGACATCATTCCAAGCTTACCCCACGAACAGCGAACAGCGTCAACAATGCCTTCCGAATGACGCAAACTATGGAATTGTGCGCGTGAAGTTATGTTTGCAAAGGGCTCAAACAATTTGTTATCAACTTTGCTATTTTCAACCCAAAGGAAAATTAATGTTTGTGACTGAAGTTTGTCCGTTCGTAGCAGTAAAAGTACAGTTGGTTTTCACACACTGACATTATCCAAATACTTTCTTTGTACTAGACAATTGCTTCTTTGCTTTTTGCTTCTTAATGTGTTAACGTTTTACTGAAACAATCGGAAAAGTGCACGATATATGTATAGATGAGGCAGTGAATATTATCAATACATCGATTAAAATATCTGTAATGGAAATAGTTGCAAATTGTGATAAGCTAACAGAAGCTTATTGCCTTTTGCGATTAGTTTCTGGCAAGCACAATCTTGTGCTATTTTAACATAACTTGAACAGAAACTTACAGCAACGAGTAAACACTCGTAGCAGCGAGAAATTAATCGAAGCAATGAACAAATAACTGAAGTAACGAGAAAATACTCGAAGCACCGAGAATTTAATCGAAGCAACGAAAAATTAATCAAAGCAACGAGAAAATAATTGAAGCAACGAGAAAATAATCGAAGCAATGAGAACTTTCGCTGATGAAAACATTTAATAGTACAAATGGCAGCATTAGGCATTCGTAGAAGGTGCCATGCATGTTTTGCTTTAATTTGTAAATGATATAAGAATCAATAGAAACAATATATGATTTTATTTTACAGAATGATTGTCACAGTTGTTTGTTATGGATCAGCTATATGGTGTTGAAGTTAATTAAAAACGATACTGTATGTTAAATGACGATGTGAGATGCAAGTTGTTTCCAAGGATACACGCATCTAATGAAACACCCTTAATCAGGATTCCGACATATATCTACTTTGAAGATATGAGTAATTAGTCTGTTTGTAGGTCTACAAAAACAAAGAAAATTGTCATGTACATAAAGGCAGGTAAGGCATGCCTTGTACTATTTATGCAATTTTTATTGAACAAGCATCATATTTATTTACATTTTGGTTGGTTTGTTTTTGTGTGTTTGTCTTTTTCCATCCCAAAACAAAATTGGTTGCTTGCTGTTTTCATACAAGTCACTAAGCAGATCTTGTCCTGTTTCAGCACAATCTTGTGCTATTTTAACATCGTCCTACTCCTGTGCTGTATCGTTCCTGTGTGATGAATAACACAACATTGAATTTTATTGACGCCAGATTGATGAAATAGATTGACTGCATAGCAACTATACTGAACATCATTGAAAACGCACCACCTGTATTAGTTTGGATTTCCAAGAGCATAAATGAGCAATCAGTGTAAATTTTACATACTTCTGTAGTCCAATGATTGGTAAAGAAAACAAACAAGAACCAATCCAGCAAAACAGTGAAGTTTTAATTCGCCTGACCATGAATGAAAGATGAATGAAAGTCAGTAACGTGTATGACCACCGTTAGCAGCAACACAAGCTGTGCAACGTCTCCTCGTTGAACTGATAAGTCTCAGATTAATGTTTTGAGGCAATGCATTCCACTCATGTTGCAAGGCATTCTCAAGTTCCCCAAGGTTGTTGATCTGCCGATGTAATCCCACTTAGTGTTCAAAGGACGACAAACCTGGTGACAATGCAGCAACCCCCACACCCACCCACACCACACACACCATAATGCTGCCCCCACCCCACCGATCTGTTTGCACAACACTGTCCTGGCCAGGCCGTTGACGGTCCCTGGTGGTTCCTGTTTGTTGGGACCTGTTGGCAAGTCTTATGATGGTGGAATGATGGCAACCAAATCGTCTGGCAATAATCCTGCTTGATGTGCCAACCTGCAACATGCCCAACGCCCGTTCTCGTTCCTCTGGTGACAATCTTGGCATTGCAAAATAAACTTTACTTGCGGAGTTACAGCTAAAATGAGAACGTTTTTTGCCCACGAACATTTATACCCCTAATCAGCATGTTTTACGCATGCAATTTGTGCTTTTCGTGTGTGTTGTGCATGAATTTTGTTGTTGTCATGTGATGTGTTCCTTGATGTGTTCGGACAATCCGTTCTTTACTGTACAGCATTATTTATTGTCTTTTGTGTTATTAACAACTTTCCAAAGTTCATTTTCACTCTCAAAACAATCCTATTACCATATTTCAAAATTTACAGGTGGTGCGTTTTCAATGATGTTCAGTATATTATGACAAGTACAATATGAGAATGTATGTAGACAAAACAGCGAGTTTGGATGAGTAGTCAAGCAAACTGAAAACTGGGGTATCATATGTGAAAAACATGTAAACAATTTAAATTTGGAGTATTTTCTCGTTGGTTCCAGTTTGTGTCAACATGAAATTTGAAGTATTTTCTCGTTGCTTCCAGTTTCTGTAAACAAAATGAAATCTGGAGTATCTTCTCCTATGTCAATTATATTTTCGTTGCTTCGATTAATTTTTCGTTGCTTGAAGTTTCTTTGAAAAAAAACAGTGAAATTTCAAGATTTGACAAACTTGAACCAACAAGACAGTTCTCCTAGCAACAAGAAATTAATCGAAGCAACGAAAAGCTGATCGAAATAATAAATCAATACCCGAAGCAGCGAAGTTTTTCGTTGGTTAGATTAATTTCTCGTTGCTTCAAGTTTGTTCCAGATGGCTTGGATAATGGACACCATTTTGTAAGCTGCATTGTTTAACATTAGTGCTGAATACTTTACTACTGCAGTATGTCTGCACTGTTATACTCAATGTGCACTTGACATGTATACGTTTATACATTGTGGATCAATATTATAT